CCCACCCCCCCCCCCCCCCCCCCCCCCACACACACACACACACACACACACACACACACACACACACACATGTTTTGTTTCATCTCATGTATAATCATGTTTATTTAATATATTATTATAAAATATATTTAATAATATTATTTATTTAATATATTATTATTTAATATATTTAATAATATTATTATTTTAAATATTATTACATGTTTTCAAAAATTAAACCATCAAACGCAGTTTTAATTTTTTATAAAACTGAAATCAATATTTGAATAAAACAACCAAACGCAATACTCAACGCTTTTGATGACTTTACCAATGCATTTTAACTTTACCCTATATAAGTTATTATACTTATGCCTATACTTTACCAATGCATTTTCTTCCAGCCTATAATGCATACTTAAACCTGCAACGTAGTATATTGATTTTGATACCAATTGTTACAAACCAATTAGGTAGAATTCATGCTTACAACGTTGGCTTGCAAGGAGAGGGGATCCAAAAGCTATAAATTCACTAATCATCTTATTATTATTCCATGTGCAACTTTTGGAATATGAGAAATATGTTTATGGTTGTCTAAATTTTGAAAAGACAAGTGTTAAAATGAAGAGTATGATAAAATTATACTTATGCCTATACGTTTAAATTTCGGGTGATTTTAGGAAGTCACTTTTGAAGAGTTGAATTTGATTCAAAGATTATAGTCCAATTTAAACATATAGTAGGAGAGAATAATGAGAGAGATAATTAAAGTGTGACTTCCAAGCATCGTTTTGAAAGATTTCATACATTTTATTCTAAATAAGTGTGGTTTTGGAAGAAATTTCAATATTTTTCTTTTTAATACAAAACAAAATTAAACCGCAACGTCTCTCTAAATCCTTCCCCACCCAAATTCTCTGTGCCGCTAGACCAAGAGGTCTTAGGCAAGTTATATATGATAACTTGAACAACATATATAATGTTTTTCAACTTTGGTAGCCAACACAGTTTGTGGAAAAATAGCTAAATGCTTCATATCATTCTGCTTCTTATTTCAACAAGTTTTGGTCCAACCTCCAATTATATCAACTCAAACAAAGAAACAAAAGTCATCTTCCGTTCCTTCCTTTCCATATTTGGACAAGTCTCCACAGTGAAAAAGAGGGCTCTCAGTTCCTCGTGCAATAATTAAAACAAGAGAAAAAAGAGAAACGTACACCAAAATCCCCTGCCATATAAATTCCAACTCTTCGAGAACGAATCTGCATATAAATTTTCCATTCAACTTTCAGTTCCATTTCTGAAATTGAAGTTTTTCTTATAATTTGTTTCATAATAACAAGTAGTCCAAAATGCTGATATGTTCATAGACTTAGTTTGGTATTATTTTTTTCTCTTAAAATCAGTTTCTGCTTGTAGCAGAAGTTGATTTTAGTGTATGATAAATTTCTTCAAAAGTGTTTTTTGAAGGATTTTTTAAGAATTTACAGTTAAAATCAGAAACACCATCAAGACAACTTTAGCTTTTACATTGTGTGAGAATCAATATAATACAATTAATGAAACTTTCATAATACTCATAATACTCCTAATGAAATTTCATAATACTCGTAATATAATATAATATAATATAAAAATCATATTGTAACAAATAATATCATAATTATATTAATAACTCTAATATTATTATTTTATCATATAATATGATATTATAATAATATTATAATTATTTTAATAATATGATATTATAATTATAATACGATATTGTAATTATTATTTTATAATATATTTTATATTGTATTGTATTGATATAATTATATCTATTATATTAATAATACTACAATAATAATATTAATTATTATATTATTTTATAATATTGTAATTATATTAACCATTTGAATAATATTATTATATTCTATATCATAGTTATATAATATATTATTTAATAATAGTTTATTGTATTATATTAAATATAATAATAAATATACATTATATTGTAATTATATATATTATATTATTGTATAATATAATATAATTGTTATTTTAATTATTTCAGTTATTATTTTAATAATATTATTATATTCTATATCATAATTATATAATATATTATATAAAAATAGTTTTTTTATTATATTAAATATAACAATAAATATATATTATATTATAATTATATATATTATATTATAGTATAATATAATATAGTCGTAATTTTTAATTATCCATAACAATTCAACTTTATAATTTACCAAACGTTATTATACTAATTTTAGAACTAGCACAGTTATTATAATTATAGTTTACCAAACACTCAGCTGCGTTTTGTAACAGCTGCTTCTTCCTTCAACATGATTAAAAGTAATTTTTCTAAAATCTACCGCACTACCAAACTAAGCCATAATCTAACCTGTATTTGAAGGCTTTTCTATGCGTAATCAATCTCTTCAACATATAGACAAACTTCATTTTCATTTTTTATTTATTGCTGAAAAGATAAACTTCATTTCTAAACCATATCTTTATTATTGCATTTGATGTTCTTATCTCCTAACAATGCGTAATTTATTAGAGTATTTGGTGTGCTTCGTTCATGGAATAGGACAAATTAGAATATATATATATATATATATTCAATCATATCAAGCGAATCCCTGAATACAACTTGTTACCGTTTCCCATAATTTAAGTGCTATACGGCAACGACTCCACTAAAAAAAAGTTTATAATAGAGTACAATTGGTTAATCAAAGGGCAGGTATATATGGTCGGTTTTATTTTTTCTTTCAATTGAGAATAGACAAATTCATTCACTGCCATACAACGCCCACTCACATAATAAGATGGGCCCCATTGAACCAAATAAAGAAAAGAAACAAAAACAAAAAGAAAAGAAAAGGAAAGGAAAAGAGGCCCCCTTGGATAAAGAAAGACACGTGGTTCTATTAATAATATTACAGATTCTTACATACACGATACAAATACACAAAGCCAAAGCGAGTGAAGTTGAAAGGAGAACAAATTGGCTTGTAGTTTTCTTGATTTTGTTCTAAATTGGAATCACTGCAACAGCAGTCACAAAAGACAAGCGTCATGTTGTTGTTGGGTGATGAGGATCAACGGTGGATGATCACTTTGATTTGAAGGGGATGGCCCTGATCACGACCTGGTGGTACAGCGCTGCGAGTGCTGCACCAATGAATGGTCCCACCCAGAAAATCCACTGCAAGCAAAACAGAAAATAAACGAATATATATCTCATGATTCTTGTTATTAACAATGTCGCCCAACAATATTGATGTGTGATCAAACATAGATTATCAGATTGATATAGAAGGGAAGCTTACGTGGTCATCCCAGGCGTGGTCCTTGTTGTAGATGATCGCCGCACCGAGACTGCGGGCGGGGTTGATGCCGGTTCCGGTGATGGGGATAGTTGCCAAGTGGACCAAGAACACGGCAAACCCAATAGGCAAAGGAGCCAAAATCTAACAACATTTTTAACACCACCAAACAATAAATTTCATAATCCAATCGCACGGTAATTTTTATTTTTTATTTTTTTTACTATATATTCAAAAGTCTCGAATTGACATGTGAATATGTTAATAGTTAAAAGAAAATGTACCGGAACATGGGAGTCTCTGGCGCTGCGCTTGGCGTCAGTGGCGGAGAACACGGTGTAGACGAGGATGAAGGTACCGACGATCTCGGCGCCGAGGCCGTCACCCTTGGTGTAGCCGTGGGCGACGACGTTGGCGCCTCCGCCATGGCCGTTGTAGATGGATTTCTTGAAGCCCTTCACGACACCAGCACCGCAGATGGCACCAAGGCATTGCATCACTATGTAGAACACTGCCCTAGTTAACGACAGCTTCCTCGCCAGGAACAACCCGAACGTCACGGCTGGGTTAATGTGACCTCCTGTAGAAGCAAATCATAATTTCTATAATTCAACACTAAAACAACAAACCAACAAGCCCGTCTAGCACAGTCGGTAGAGCGCAAGCTCTTAACCTTGTGGTCGTGGGTTCGAGCCCCACGGTGGGCGTATTGTTAATTTGTTTTGGCAGGCTTCTCATTTTTGCTCATTTTTGTTCAACAAGCCCGTCTAGCTCAGTCGCTAAATTCTCATTTTTGTTCGAGCCCCCCCCGTGGGTTTAGAATGACATTCATAAACCGTTAATTTGATTTTTAAAAATTATTAAGTGATCTTGTAAAATTAATAACTAATTTATTATTAATTTATCACATATGTTACTCAAAATATATATATATATATATATATATATTTACCAACATATGTCTAACTTATCAATTTCAAAACTTGATTCTTATTTTGTTTTAGAAGTGAATAATTTTTTTTTAATTTAACAACATAAAATGTTTTTTAAAAATATGCTTCAATGATATTTTTACGTATTTCCACGTTAAAATAAAATTAGAGACATGGTTAATGCAGTATTTAAAGAATAAATGAAGTTTTTTTTAGATCATAATTCATAAACATAAAACACAAGAACCACGTGGGGGTTCTGACCTGAGATGCCAGCGGTGCAGTAAACGAGGGCGAAGATCATGCCACCGAAGGCCCAAGCGATACCCTGAATCCCAACGGTCTTGCACTTGCTGTCTTCCTTGACGACGCCCATGACCGTCAAGATGGTGATGTACAGGAACAGAAAAGTGGCGATGAACTCTGCGATCCCCGCCCTGTAGAATGACCATGACGTCAGCTCCCCCGGCTCGAACAGCGGCGCCGGCGGTGGCTCCTTGTAGTCCTTCCCGTCGTCCTGGGTCTGCGCCGCAGTCCCTATCGGCTGCCTCTCCGAGAACTTGTTCGCCCCCAATCTAACATCTTCTTCCTTCCCTTCCATTTTCTCTCCCTCCTCACTTTCTTTCTCTTCTCTCTCTCTTTTCTTGTTTTTTAAGTGAAAATTTGCTCGTGAGTGGTGAGTGGGAAGTTGTTGATGGTTATATAAGCCGAGAGCCTGAGTAGGATGAAGTAAGGTGGAGTGGTGGTGGGACCCAATGAGTATAATTAAAATGGAGTTTCCTTATCTCTTGTGGCCGACCAATCATTTTCTGAGAAATCATACGAAATGACGAGAGTGTCCCCGGAGAAAAAAAAAGGTTTTGGTCGATCTGAGCTGGCACAACGGTGGCCACTGATTAGGCGCCGGACGACAAAGACTCCCGCCGACCATGTGTATATACAATATATTCATGACAAGTACTTTAATGCGGCTGTGGTCCATTTCTGAGTTCTATAGCTCTAGTTCTAGTAACATTAATGAGCTACCTAGTATTAGTATGTTACGGCACGGGTTTTGGGTTTCGGCGCGTGCTATATTTACTAAAGTCACGCTATTCAACATTATGATCATTATGATGTTTCAACGTTATTGGATGAATGATGCTAAGGTCACCAATTGTACTTGAGTATTACTTATTAATACAAGATGAAACATATAATATGAAAGCTCAATTTTTTTTTAATTAGTTATGGTTCTTAATATTGGCAGTAACGATTTTTCGTATTTGATTGTTTTGTAAACAATTCATTTTCTAGTGCCTTACTTTACAATATTTCCAAAACTTATTGGGCTAACAAGCGTAATAAAAAAAAAGGAAAATAGTAGGAAATAGACCAATATAAAAAGCTTAAGAAAATATATAGGCCATTTTTTAGTTATAGAAATTAATAGGGACAAGTTATGGTTCATAACCAGATAAGTTATGGACAAACTTGTCAAGTTATGGTACGGACAAACTTGTCAAGTTATGGTTCATAACCAGATAAGTTATGGATAATAACTTGTCAAGTTATGGTTCATAACCAGACAAGTTATGGACGAAAATAGTAATTTGGTCTATTTATTAACTTATGTAAACTGTTGGCCTATTAATTATAATTCATCTCAAATCTTGGCCTATTTTCCTCTTTCTCCCTAAAAAAAAAATAATCAGTTAACGTTGTAGTTGTCGTAAACCATCACCAAAAGCCCGCGCATGTCAAACACATAACTTTTATATTTCAGAGGACTAAAAATACCAACGTAGATGATCACATTTTTGCAGCAATCGTCCTCATACTAATAGAAACTGAGTATGATTGTATGAGGGTAGAATTACTATCAGACTAAGAGACCTGAATAAACCAAATATGCACATATCGTCACTATGGTTTCATGTTAATCTAGGCTCGTGCCTTCTTTAGTTATAATGGATGCGGGGCAAATCTACAAAGATTTTGCATCACTTAATATGAACCACTCGGTTGCCTCGAGTGCTTTCCACTCTGTAACGACATTGTCGCCTTTTTTATTTTGCTTCCACAAAACACCCCTGTGATTAAATTGTGTCATTTTTCATCTTGGGTCACGTCGTAATGTGATGCCCTAAGAGACTAAATTTTTGGACAGCAAAGTTGGACCGAAGTAAATATTATTCCACATTTGGTCCGAGCCAGTACTTTACAAAAGTATAATAACGTTTTCTGTTTATTAGATAGAATAATTTCTCTAATAAATAAACAAATTAAACGTGGACGGCGTACAACGCTAACGACAAAAATAGCGACGCCCACAGGTTTATTATATGGCTAATTATTATTCACAAATTTTATATTCCTATATTTTTATTTTCATGTCGATTTGTTTTGAGTATTTATATGAGAGGATAAGCAATAATTAACTCTTCAAAGCGAATAAGGTCAGGGAAATTTGCGCGCTGGCAGTTTGGCGTGAAGGGAAATGGTGGGATAGTGGAATTTGGATTATATTAATCATGTCAACTAATTCGTTTTTTTAACTTCAATAATCTAGTTGTGGTGACATATGTGTGGATAATAAAAATTAATAATGTGCATGTCGTTGTCTAATTCATCGATCATACGTTTGAGAATCTTAATGTGATTAAAGCTTCATCATTTTCTTCTGGTGCTAATTAATTATGGGTTGCACTTATCACTTCTGGTTGGAATTTAGATGGCAATGGGCCATTGCTATGTTTAAAACTCAACATAGGATAGGCATGAATTGTGGGGGGCTAAAGTATGACAACCAAGGCCCTGTTTATTTCGCTGATTCGAGTTTAGAATTCGAGTTTTGCTACAGTAAAAAGCTATCTCAAACAATCACATCTAACTTTTTTGTTACAGTAAAAAATTCTCACATAAAATTACATCTCAACTCAAATTAAAAACTCAAATTAATAACAACCAAGTAAGTACGTTTTATTTGGTTCAAATGGACTTTATGGAGATAGCTTTAGAAATATAAATGGATCTAAAATCGTTCGAGCAAGCGTTTCATTGACTTTTGCTTCAACTAAATGTTGTTGTTATTAAGTTAAGCCTAATTAGTTGGTATTGAGAAAGCCTAATTACGACACAATGCACGAATCGATTTTGTAGCTTCAGTTGTCCTAATTTTTTTTAAAAATGTAAATATAGACATCATCATTAATGTATAATTAGAGAGGTTAGAGAAAAACATAAAAGAGTTGAGACGTATGAAATTTTTGCTTATAAACTACTTCATCATGTAAATTATTGCAACGGCTAAAAGTAGACATAACTCTCACATTAATAAATGAACCACTATAAATTTTATGTTTTTATTTATTTAATTTTCTTATGTGACTTAATTATTCTCCGTAATATAAAATTAGGGTGTCTAAATCCTTTCACTAAATATTACTATGCTATAACGTAGACTTTATTATCACATCATAAACCATAATTGAACTAATCATAGTGATAATGATGGTATAACGCTACTGTGTTGTTTGATAATCTAATTTTCTAATAATGTAATGCTTGACAATATAGGGTTTGATTCCGATATGAATTGGTCCCAAACAACTTAATTTTTTCTATATGGGAAAAATTAAAAACGAGACAAATGTTATACTGAGAGAAACGATGTCGGTCCATACTATTATAAGACGGTTTGGTTAAATCTAGGCCGCGTTTTTGGGCTCAAAATTGGGCATTTTAAGGTCAACATAATAACACTTGATTGATTGTGCGTTTTGAGAAAATTACAAAATTTTCTCTTAAAATGTATGAGTCTGGATTTTTACTTTTCATTTTTGATTAATATCCTTTTATTAGTATAGTTATTTGACTAAAAAAATTGTTAAACAAGATAAATGAGTAAAAATTCTGACTTATACACTTTTAAATGGTATTTGTCTTCTTTTTCCTTGTCTTTCTATTTTGGTTGGCCTTTTCAATAGATTTGTAGGTTGAAAACTTGGAAATATGTATACTACTATAACATATGTCAAAGTATAAATGAAAGTTAAATGCATCAAATACATGTTATCCAAACTCCAAAATGAACTTAAATTGAGAGGATAGCTTTCTTCTAATATGTGAGTGGGGTGAGGGTGTAAACCGAAATCGTCATTTGAGCGATTTTGTTGGACTTTTAGTCCATCAGGATCAATTCTTGACATGACACTGAACTTATGGTCAAAAAATGGGCCGGCCGGTCCGATAGTGTTTTGTCTACTTTGCACAGCTCTCCTGACATTGAGGATTGACCTTACACACACTTTAAACAAAAGAGGAGTTCATTATATAATGAGAATAACGCTCACACTAAACTATCCCTTCTTTGCCCGAATTAATTCCATTTATACATGCACGTCAATATTTTATTGGCTTGTGAAAACTTACAAAACTATTTAATTCTTATTTTATCGCTCAATACCACTGCTAATTAATTACAGGAATTTGGACATGAAATACGTTTTTGTAGGGAATAGAATAAAATATGTTTAGTGCCTTAATTAAGAATACAAGAATAAAGTATGATTAGGCTAATGCAACATGCGGATAATATTCTCACAATAAACAGTCATTCCAACTAATAAGCCTTAATAGTTCAACAACCGGTGACCAAAGCATTGCTAATTTCTACATTAAATTAACTGATTAATAGCCGCCTATTGAATTATAACGATTATTTTCTTTGTGGCTGGGCAGCACCACATGCTCCTTGGGGTCTGCCTAATTAATTGTTAATTAATTTGGATTCTTCGTATTTAAATCATCTCTCCTTTCCCATTTTAAAAATTTTATTCCTTGAACTATTAACTATATGGCTAACAAGGTAAGACCCGAGAAAAAGGTTAAAGTTGAAATTGCAACCTATATTTGTCAGTGTTTGAACAGGTCTTTTATTATATGCCCGAGTAGACATTAGATTTGTTATTGCAATAAAGATTCAAGTTTAGATATTATCAGTACGTAGCATATTTTAAAATCTACATGGGTTTTAGAGTTGGGACGTTAATATTTGACATTCTATAGCAAATACAAAGAAAAAAATCCGTATTTCATTTGTTGAAGTTACACTTTAGTGCATCATTTCTCACCATACGCGTATTAACACACGTCTTGAAGAATGAGGGTCAATCGTAGAATGGGCCTCTAAAATCATCCGCGAGTCATTGACAGCTCGCCGGTCATGGACCGTCAAATGAGTCTCAAACAGATGACAAGCTACTCATTCAGTCGGCAACCTCCCAAATCTAAAAACAATATGTCAAAACGACTCAAGTGCATCTGGAGAGAGCTGTGAACTTCTAACAACTCGCCGGTCCTGACTCAACGGACAAGCAGCTCATCGGACGAGCTGCTAGACAGCCTTACTGACTTAGAGTGCAAGTTTCCAGATATTGAGCAGATTCTCCACGATTTATTTTGAAGCACGTTTTACGGAGTTTTATGCTTAGTTTCCCTAATTTTCTCATACTTTCTATGTTTTTCTTGAATTGTCCTCTTCTTCCTCTTAATGTCATTGCAGTTCATCATTGAATATAATGGAAGCACCCGAAGACCCTACAGAGGACATAGCTCTCGTTAACAAGTGAATCTTTATAAAATTTCTCGTGTATGTCTTTATTTATT